CTTGGATAATCTATATGAATATTCAAACTTTTGTTACCCGAAGATTATTTGGGTATGTCTACCCGGGTATTACCCGGATATGTTTACCCGGGTAGCTGAGTTTACAACCCGGATATCCGATTATCTGCAGATAACCGGGTAATATTCAACCCGGGTGTCATCACTACACTATACGTTAGGGTGTTCAAAATAATAGGTAAATCAAATCATAGTCGGGTACATATGTAAGGATTTTTTACCATTTTTTAAATAATTTCAGAAATTTCGGAAAATTTAACTTTAACTTATTATTTTCTTTATTTATCAAACAACTCATTAACATTGACGTTAAACAGCAGAAAATTTAACTTTCACTTATTATTTCCTTTATTTATTGAACAAGTCTTTAAACAGTATATTAGCTTCTATTTCTCCAAACATTGCCTGTTTTTCATTGCCTTGTTTTTCATTATCTCGCTCATTTAAGTTTCTTTTATTTTTTCTTTGTAATACCAATTATTCTTTAGAGAAAGAAACTTTCTTGACACCTGAAAGTCGAAGGTTAGCTTTTTTAGTTTCAATATTCATGTTCGTATGGCACTTAAAGTCATACTTATTGAACAAACCCTCAACCTGTTGTTGATGAATAACTATATAATAAATTTGACATTTGATAAATTTATATAGTTGAGGAAAAGCGTGAATCGGTTTATCAGAATTAGCAAAGTTAAGTAGTTTTTTCATAAATAATGGATTTTCTGTTGCTTGTAGCAAGCTAAAATCATTAGAATTAGATTGTTTAATATCTAATTCCAAAAGAGTTGTATAACACAACTCTTTGAAACTAGGAACTTAATTTTGTTGTCTTTTTAATTTTACATATATATAACTTCTAGCAAACTCACAGCCATATTTACCACCTAATCGACACACACTTAATAGAAAATGAAGCCACATACTCATCCACTTATCCAAAGAATTTATAGTCATATTAATACTAGCTTCTAAATTATTAAAAAATTTTCCAAAAGCATCTTCATCAAAAATATTAATGACATCACATAATTCTTTATCAAAAAGAGAACAAATATTGTCTTTAACTAGATATAAATTTTTTATCTATTTAAATAACTACATCAGGCATTTCATGGGCTCTGCAACCAGATAAAAGTAGTGTTAGTTGACCACCAGGTTGAAAAATTCATAGTTCTTTATCAAACTAATTAGAAAATTCATCATTGGCTCATAAACTTGTTCACCGAACTTTACAAGACATTCAATTTGTATTTTTAAAATTGGGTCCGTAAGCTATTGTTGAAGAAGTTCCTAATTTGTAAGATAAGTTTTTGGTATTTTTTTTTGTGATTTTAGCTTATTTAAAAACCAAACAGTAAAGTCTTCTAAAAATTTTCATCTTTCTATTAGTTGCCTTGTCACTTGAAGTTTGTACAACCATTGTTGCCTTAAAGGTTTTTGAATTTAGTTAGCCAAATATCAAATATAAATCAAATAAATATACCGATTTCATATTCATAGGATTGTCTTTGTTACTTTCGGTATAATTATTATATAATTTTTAAATAAGATAA